GATTGCTTAGCAATTAATATAACTGACTCTTTCCAAAGCTTGCTATTGGGCCCTTCAGTCACATATTTTTCTAAAAAACTCCAATCAAATGGATACATTGATTTATCTGTACCATTAATGACAGCTAAACAAGTCACTTTGGTATCTTCATCAACATCCAACATTTGTTTTCGTTTTGGAACAATAAATGACATTAATCCTCGAGCAATGCTATACTCAGAAAGATGTTTTAAATTTTTTGGTTCATCTGAAAATAAACGTTTAGTAAACAACATATCACAGAAAAATTTTCTATAATACTAACGGTCTGACTGGACTCTTATTATGACATTTTTTTCTAACTCTCGCTTAAGCCAAACTGATAGCATCATTTGTGCTTCTATGATAAATTTTTTGTTAATAATTTTAAGAAATTTTACCCAACACTCTCCTATAATTACAAAATATTTTATTAATATACAAGAAAAATATTAATTGAATGACATAACAAAATAGTAAAATTATCACCAGGTATAGGTCCATTAAATAAATCTAATTTTTCTGAATCCTCCAACCGTGTTACAACATTTGGATGGGTTTGAAATATTTTGGGTAAAACATTGAGAGGCATGTTTTCCACATTTGTGTTGGATAAAGAACTAAAACATTTGAATTAATATTTTTATAAAAGTTCAAGGGATTCAAACTTACTTAAGAGCACATTTAACAGTATTATCATTAGAGTGTAGTACCATAGACCATAATTTTTGGAAAAATTCACTGCATTTTTCACTTTCTGTTGTTTGGTTACACAACACCATTAATAAATTACAATAGCTGTGAAAAATAAATAGCTGAACATCATGTGTTTTAATTTAATTTTACTCAAATAAATAAAATCATACCTAGATATAACAGAAGGATGGTGAATGTCTAAAATACTTTTATCAATCATTTTTAAAAGAGATTCTGGATTCATATACTCAGCAAGACACAAGTCTACTAAAGATTCTAATGTCAATTTCAGTGGCAAGTGCATTGAGTGATTTATGTAAAATTCAACCATTTGTTTCAAAATAGATACCAAATCTGAACTAGGACTAATGAATAAAATATAATTTTTAAAGTTAATATTTTTGCTTATTTTTAGTGAATTTGTTTACTTTGATTTGACAATTTTTCTAATAGTATATGACTTAACTACATTCCACTGCCATCCTGGTTTATCTTTTGATAAACAATACAATAAAAATCTGTAACATCTAACTTCTGTTAACCATAAGTCATAATACATATCAATACTTAATTTATTCAGTGTTTCATCATTGCTATTTTCAAATCGTTTTATAAAACTTATTACTAATGAAATGTTTTCCTACAAAAAAAAAATAAAATAAATATTTATAAGTGTAAGGTTAAGAAAACACTATAACTATATACAATGTCAAATAACAACACTTTAAAAAAAAAAAACATTTCCATCAAATAATTTTTTTTTCAAATTTAAATGAGTATTTATAAAAATGAAATGATTAGTAGTTAAATATGTAATAAGTTATAGCTATGGCCCTTCATTGGAATTTAAATTAAATTACAATGAAACAAAATGGTATAAAAGACATTTTTTTTAAATATCATAAATTGTACAACTAATCAATGATGTTATACMTAATGCTTATTTTATATAATATATTTTTAAACAATTGATAAAATTAACAAAAATTATTTAAATTTATAAATTAAATTGAAAATAAGTTTTTGGTAATTTGAAAGAAGAAACTTAATAGAAAATTAGTTTTGATTTTATTTCCTCATTAATGATTATTATTTCTTAACGGTAATATCATGAGCGGTTGGTGGTAAATGTTTTTCAGTGTAAGAAATATTTAATTATTTTTACTGCATTACTTATATTTTATATACATAAATAATAAACTTACCGATACACAGGCGGCAGTCGGTATGACTTTCATTAAATCAAATCGACCATAATTACTTATTTCTTGATCCACAGCATATGAAATTAATGGCAACAAATATTGTTTATTTAATAACTTTAATAGAGTTAGTTGTTGAGAGCGATCACAGATTTTACTCAAGTAAAGACCTACTAAATAAAAATTAAACTGAGTGTCATTTAATAAATCACTGGTATGATTAATCTCAGACAACCATTTTGTAGTAAATTGTTGGTTATTAAATTCTGGACATAGTCTGAAAAATATAAAATCATTTATTGTTAGATAATTTATCCTTTTATTTTCTAAAATATACTCAACAAAGTTATACAAATGTGCTCATAAATTGTCTTACTTTATCAGTGAGTATGATATAATCAAAAATGAATCGCTAGATAAAAATGGAAATAACTTGTGGTTTTTAGCACATGATCTGAATATAGTAACTACAAACATCAAAATATAAGTTGTACACATTTTCATAAAATATAAATTAACATCTTACTTTCAGAGTTAAAAGTTGTCAAAACCATAGTAATTTTATCATCATCAATTAATTTTGTACGATTCCATTGTAAGACACTTGCTACGACAGCCTGAGCTATTATTTTATGGCACCCATATTTTCTAACAACATTCAAGCCTAAGAAATAAAATTTTAATTATAATAAAAATTATAGAGGGAAATAAAAAATATTGAATATTACAGAAGTCAATAGTTTGTAGTACAAATTTTGAAGAGCATAAACTTAAAATTCTGCAACAACATAGTAATAAAACATCAGAAGCGCAAGGACATAATATCAAAAGACTATTCAAGCGTTGGAACGTGGAAGTTGGGTCGAATCCATGTGAAACAAGTTGAACTGATATTTGAATTACACACAAACATAAATTATATTTTGTTTCATGAAGTGTATCAGGGATTGTGTCGCAAAATTCTCCTAAAAAATTGCTTAAAAATAGAATGTCATCTAAATTATCCACCTGTAATAAATAATAATCATATTGTAATAAAAATATTATAGTACATATAAACATATATATATATATATATAATATTTTTACAGCATTGACAAATATTTCACCTGTAGCCAAGCATAAATTTCAAATAATAAATCATAATTAGATGCACAGTTAAGTATTTGAACAAATAGTCTGACAAACAGAATACGATGATTTGATGATGCTCGAGACAAAAAAATGAATTTAAATAATTGTTTTGTAATATTCAGSCAGCTTGTAATAAACCTGAAACAATAATTTAAGATGTAATTATAATTTGAATTACAATAAAATAAGTACTTAATTAATTAAAATAATGTATTACTCATGATCATCAAAATGTGTACTGATTTTCATATGGAACAAAATTGTATTCCATTCTTCAATACTTTCATCCATTATTTTTATTAGAACATCAACCAGAGTATTGATGCCATTATTGTTAGTATTTTCTTTATTTTTCAATCCAAAAACTATTAATTCAAATATTTCTTGTATAAATCCAGTTCTACATTTAATTTGAGGATTTAGAACGACTAACCAGTCAAATAGTAATTGGTTTTGATAGTTATTAGACATCATAAATGTGCACAAAGCTCTTAATGCACTAGTACAGATTATTGGATTTTGGTGACAACAATACTCTTGGAGAAGTAACATTTCAGGAATCTAGAATAATGTGAAATGAGTGAAATTGTTGTTGAAAGTCTTAAGTGTATACAATAACCTAGATATTTTAAATAAAAAAAATTTTCCTTCAAATTTTATAACTTTTAATTTGTTAATATTTAAAATGTTTAATAATTCAATTTTTTATCCCCTTAAAAATGTCTAGTAACTGAAAATTAATCATATGTGATGAGTGTCACACTTAAGCAGTGCTGTATCTAGGCATTGGCAAGGTAGGCGGTGACCAAGGGCGCAGTTTAAAATGATTGCGCTAGGGGCACAATTTTTATATCATATATAAATACTAAAAATTCATTTTAAATTTATAACATTGGTTGCCAAGGGCGCACATAGAGCTAGTTACGGCACTGCACTTAAGTACCTAATCATGATAACTATAACTCTTAACCACTGCATTTGTGCGTATAATGCAATAGTTTATTATCTATATCTGTCATACAATGAGACATGAGTAAAAAAATATGTAACATCACTATGTATTTATAAGTAAATTTGTTATTGATACAATTCTGAGAATAGAATAAAAAATTAAGTAGAAATGAATAATTACATTTGTCATGTCAGAACGATTTCCTTTGATTTTAGTTTTGATCATATTAACTAGATTGTCTGTTGCCTAAAAATGAATTAAATTTGCATTAGATAGGTATTCAAGTTTAATMAACAATAATCATTGAGTTATATTTACAGCAGTCACTAAAATTGTATTTCCAGAGTCTATTTTTCGTTTGATCTCCGGTAGAGTATCCATTGGAAGATTTTTGTGCGCTACAATGACACAATTTATTACTTAAGTAAAATAATTGCACATAACAAAATATCAACAACTTACAGTGTTCAAATGGCAACAACAGAGTAACGATTCAAGATCAAGTATGAAGGTATGAACTTTATAAGGAAAATCTCAAATACAATAACTAAGTCTTAAATAGAAAATAGTTATCTAACGGCTAATACTTAAACATTAAAATATTCGAAAATGGTATCAGAACATTCAGAACTGCCAAGACCGAAAACCTAAACCACAACACTTTTACACGTCCTGCCCTTAAAGGCTTAAAATTTTCAAACGATATCACAGAATAACACGATACGGTATAAAGATAATACATTTCTGTGATAGTCTGACATCGCGATTGATAACGGTGTTATCACATCTGATACTTTTAAAATAAAGTAGTTGCCTAATTTAATGAAATTTGTGCTTAATTATATTATATAGTCGTTGTTACTTGTTACTTTGTTAGATACAATTGTCGTGTATCCATTTTTTTACTAGGTTTTTTTTTTAGAATAAATAAAAATTAACATAATTATGTATTTTAATAATTGTTGAAGTACCTATTTAGGTACTTTATTAAAGGTTAAATGTTTAGTTTTCGTAATATGTTACTTTTTAATATTTGTTCGAAGTGTGGAAAGTCTAAAAGCTTATTATATTTAAATTTGGCTTCAAACAAAAACACATTCGCTGTAAAAGGCAATGCACAAAAATCAGAAAAACCAATTTGCAACTACCACCATGATGCATTGGATGCTTTTACTAATAGTCTCGTTCTGGAAAATATGATGAAATGGAAATCAGACAATTTTGTCACTACAGATTATAAATTGCCAAAAGTCAAATCAGATTCTATTTTTGAACTCTGTGATGATCCAGACCATCTGACAACATATCTACAGCAATGCTTAGATGGGCATTCTCAAGTCAGTGAAAGTGCATTAAATCAATTCAGGTCAACAATGGCAAGACATGGAAAAATTAATGGATTAGTATTAATCGAAAAACTCAGTGAAAAGTATGGTAATTGTATTAAGAAATCTGAATTACAGATGAATTTTGCAGAAGCATATTGGATAAATGGTAATTTGTATCACATGTTTAAAATTTTTGAAACATTCTATCCTGTGGAGTCTACAAATGTCAATCATGTATTAGACCCTATTATTCATACCATAATCAAATCACATGGTGTTGCATCAGTAGTTATGGTTTCGAAATTTGTGAACTCGATAGTTGTAAATCATGGAGATTATCATCCAATGTGCATTTTATGGAAGTATTTATTTTTAAGTGAAGTATATAATGACAACCTAGAAGCAGAAAAATTATTATCACAAAATACTAATTTAATAGAAAATATACAATACCTTGCACCAGTCCTTACAAAAAAAATGTTAAAAATGCATAAAATTGATTGTGTTCAAAGGATAATGATAATTTTTTTAAAACATAAACGAATGGAACCATATCAATGGATTTTAAGGTCTCTGTTTGAGTATTATTGTGAGTATACTATGTTTTGAATTATTACATATTTTTATTAGAATTATACCTAGATATTATTGAATAAATGATGTTTGTCATCTACAGGGTTGGAAGTAGTGAAAGCTATTAAAAAAAGTGACCCATATTATACAATATAACCAAGTTCAAATCAGTAGGAAAATAATAATAATAAAATAATAAAAATGTACTTATTTATGTTCATGTACTAAAATAAATAGATAATAGCGACAAATAATTTAAAATGGTCGCTACTCCATCAAACCCACTGCGTGATTTCATGAACGCTGAACAGTCGGTTTTTGGTATTTTGTATGTCGCTTTTTGTCCATCCTACCGATCGACCTYATAATACGAAAATATTTCCGAATTCGTTATGATGTCAATCAATCCACATTTTGAGATATCTGATTTAAATTCCGAATAATGAACGTTTGAAAATTCTGAAATCTCAAAATATTCAAATTAAATTTATAGTTGATTGTTTATAGATTATAGTGGTGAAATTAGTCWAGAAAAAAATCATTTATTTAGTCAAATTTTGATGATAAGTGACAAAACATGAGTTAATTTTAAAACAATGACCAACTGCTTATTTATTTCCAGCCCTTTATCTACCAAAAACTGTATAAACAATATTAAATGTAGCCTACTATAATTTATGCGTAATAGTCTTAATATATTCATACTGTTTAAAATAAAAATCAAAAAAGTATTTAATTCATCGAAACCTATTGGTTGATGATATAAATATATTAAATTCATAAATTTAATATGCTTCTTCTAAAGTCGATTTGTAGGCCAATTGGTGAGATAAATACTTTTTACTATCTATCTCCCCTCCAAATTATTGCATTACTATTATGCTTAATGTAGGTAATATGAGTACACATTTTGGCTTTTATATGTTAGTGTTAGTTTGTTAAAATTAATGACTATAGTTACTAATAGGTTAATATGTGAATCATTACAGTGCAATGGCCAATGAGTCATCAGTTTTAACTCAAAATAATTAGCACATCACACTATTCTATACATTGTGGCTATCATAAATATGTTAGGAAGATGTATCATACTATTTCAAACAATGATATCTGTTAAAAATATTAAAATCACTATTTTATCAATAAATAAATGGAATATAAGTTGAATTTCTATTAACAATATTTAAATATTTTATTTCGATAAACGAAATTAATGAATAATGTTCATTCAGACATAAAAATTGGTTAATAAGAGTAGGTTACATATTAATTGTATTAATATTTTTATTAGAATAGTAGGTATATTATGTTTTTTAGTGTAAAGTTTWGTCACCATATCTATAATCTAACATTAAGATTGTAGTCTGTATTGTACAAAWTAAGAACAATTTAATTCAAAAATATTTTATTGTTAAAAACAAATAAATGTTCATAAAAAAAAATAAATAAAAAAAATGAATAATAATTATACATATTTTTACAAGTATATTTTAAAAATACCAAAGTACCTAGTATTTGTAATGACAATATTTATTCAAATATGATATTCAGTCAGTATTGATTTAAAATATATATATGTTTTATTTATTTTTTAGACACATTGGGAAATGTTTCCCAATGCAAAGAAATTATGAAACACTCTACTGAACTCAATGTACCATTAACACAAGCACAGCAATCACGTTTAATTCACATGGTGCTCAACAATAAACATCAACAAAAAATCAACAAAGAAGTGACTGCAATTATATTTAAACTTATGTTTTAAATTAGTATGCTATTTGTTAGTACGATTTTGTTGTTTAAAACCAAATAATAATGTATTGTTTAATATTTGAAATTATGCCAGTTATAGTATGTTACATAATACTTATAAAAAAACAATATTTTAAATGGTAACACTAACTGTAATGCTGTGATTATTGAATTCTTCAGGTTTTTTTTTAATAACAGCAGTAGTTTAATTATAGAAAAAATACATTAAAACAAGTTAGAAAAAGAGATAATAATTAATGGTTATAATTATAATGTAATAAAAATAAATCCATCCCATTCAAATATTAAAAATTGACTTATGTATAAATTCTTAAACATTAATGACCCAGATGAATAATATTATTTGGTCTTTTTCATTGTAAAAATAAATTATTATCAGAAAAAAATACTTTGATTGTAAATAAATAAATATAATATACTAATATTTAATATTAACAAGATATTGAATAACTTAATATTGATAAGAATAACTTAACAATATTATTAACTAAGTATCACAAATACATAATTCGGATTTTACACATTAAATAAAATAATAGATCTATGGATTCAATTTGCATAATTTGATAAAGTTAAATGGTACAATATGATTTTACTACACAAATATAAACAATTATGATTCAATTCTTGTCAAATTGGATGGTTCCAGGAATAACAAACTTCATAGAAAATGTTAGTAAAACAAAGAAAGTACTCATGCAGATGGTAAAATCAGTAAAACTTCGGCTGTAAATTAAACAAATGTTTATTATAAGTAAGAAGAAAAATACTTATTTTATCAGGTACATACTTGCTCTGGTGTTGTAGTTGATGGGACAAAATTATCATCATCATCAGAATCATCGTCACCCGAAGATTCGCTACGATCTTTTAAGGCTGTAAATTAGAATCATTATTATTGAGATAAAAAGACTGTCAATAACTTAGATTATAATACAAACATACAGTTTCTTAGATAATTGAGGTTAGAACTGTTTTGTTGTGCTTTATCTCGAGACAGTTTATCGAAACAATTTAGGCAGACACGCAATTGTTTAGTTGATTGATTTGGTAATAAAAATCGTTTACTAGAACATGGACCACATACCACAGTACCACAGTTACGACAATGATGCTGAAACCAACAAAGAAATTAGAATTTAAAAAAGTATTTAATTTTTTATAATGCAATTACTCTTCGATTGAGGACTGTAAATYGAGTCTTTTTACAATGCATGCAAACATTGGCTTCAGAATCTGGAACCCATACTGCAGCGTGAACTTCAACAGCTTTTTTACCACTCTTTCTTAACAAATCTTCAATACATTTATTAATGTGCGCCATCCATTCTTGTTTTTCTGTTGAAGTGGCTGCATATACAGCAAACGACTTGGATGCAGTTCGAATTAACCAACCATTTCTTAACTCTTAACATTAGGATACATATATATGATACATTTAATGGTATTTTTTTTTAATATGATCATAAATAATAATCATTAGTTACATTACACTTAGTAATTGTTATCATAACTTACGTCCTTCATCTTGTAAAGATTCTAATTTTACTTCTTCTAATGGTATGACATGCTGTTTGTTATACTAAAACAAATTTATAAATAATTTAAGTAATTTATAAATAATTTTARTAAATGATTACAATGCTGTTWACAATATTTACTTTTTTTTTATTTATGAGTATATTTCCATATACTAAAATGTCGTTGAACAAAAAGAATTGTCTAGGTTTTGGTTTTTTTCGGCAAATTTTTGTCAGTACACCTTCACCGACTAACACACGTCCAGGAACAGCTAGAGGCTGCAATAATAAATGAAAAAAATGTATCAGAAAAATATAATAATACAGCCAAGTATGTGTGACTTTATTCACTCTATGTTATTTTTGCCTCAAAGACTTAGTAGGAAGTAGAAATTTCACTTACTTGTCCCGAGCTACCAAAACAACTTTCGACCATAGTAATGCGACGGGCATTTGCCTCACTATTTACTAAAAATTCAAATATTTATTTACAAACAACTGTAAGGATTTCATAATTAAGCATGAAATAAAATATTACTCACCTAATCGGTCCACCATTGTTTGAACTCTGTAACAATACCCTGGGCCAATACAGCCAATATGATAACAAATAATTAGTAATAAAAAACAATTTAATACTATTCAAGGTCTAGAACGGTAACTATAAACGGAAGTTATTTCAAAAAAAAAAAAAAAATGTAATTCTTCCCAACAGTCTTAACCAGTTAACGATTTTGAAAACAATAAGGTCCGTGTCATAACTTACAATCAACATCACAATATTTATCAAATTCTTATCATTATGACGTCATTGTCGTTTCATTATTTTGTATTCACACATAATAATAGTATAACATTATTATCGTATACTTTTGCTGTTTCACTGTTTATGTGATCACCATTGTTATAACTTAGTAGTTACAATTCACGACTGAGTATTACAATCACGACATCTATGTATTTATCATTTAATAAAATAAATTTGATGCATTTACATAATATATATATAAAAAAAAAAACACTTTTTTATTTTTATTTTTAGGTAAGTCTTCTCGTTATCAACATTATTGTATATTATGTATATTGCACTTTTTATATAAATAAAAATAATAACGTATACGATTAAAGTAAATATTGACAAGTTGTTAGTTTGTTACCTATCTCAAGAATATTTTTGATTGTGTTTACCCACTTATAACTTAATAATAATGGGGCGTACCTACATATTATAATAATGATTATGATTTATGTACAAAATAAATGTAGTATGTACCCATCAGAGTATTGACATTCAATTACACGAGTGACAAGTCGTATTATCAGACAGAATTATTTAAATGTTAACATTCGGAAGGTGGTCATAGGTCACGTACGTATAATACTACAGTATTCTTGATATTGTTAAATGACTATAATATAAATGAATATATTATGCATGATTCATGTACCTAGGGATTGACAGTTTTTCGAATTATTCTAACAAGTGCACATTATGCAATAAATGTATAATTGGCCAAGGTAGTCGTCGTCGTGATCGTCGATAACAACTCGTGTGCAGACTGCAGTAAACTGCAGTTGTAATTTGTACAGCCAAACAGGTACGACTGCATTTTTACTTTTTAGTGCTTAAGTGTGTTGTTGTGCATACTGCCATACAATAATGGTATTTATTTATTCTGTAGTATTTTCGTCGCTATTAAAGTAAAAAATAATATACATTATGTATTTATTTATTCTGTAGTATTTTCGTCGCTATTAAAGTAAAAAATAATATACATTATGTATTTATTTATTCTGTAGTATTGCGTGGGTAATTAGTATAACATTTTAATCTAAATATTGTAAAATATAGTTTATCGGCTATAGGACCACAATTTAAAATATACTAATAATTAGGTCTCTGGCGGGGTCTCTGATTTGTATGAAACGAAATTATTGAATAATTGGTATGGTATCCATATAAAAATATATAAAACAAATTATTTGTTGCTCGTTAAAAAACACAAAAACATCTTCTCTGAAATCATTTTCATGTAGGTACCTATGGAAAAAGTTCGTTTTCGATTAACCTGTAATTTTGAAAGAGGATTTGACCTGAAAATATTACGTTTTGATTTATTCAAACGGCGTCAATCGATTCAATGATGTTTWTTCCTATACAATCGATATTTAACTCGATTTTGTCATTTTTGTCAATAGTACGTTTGGGATTTCCATTCCTCATCATAATATTTATACACAGGTAAAATTAGCTACCGAAAACATTAAATTAATTTTAGAACAAATATCAACCCAAAATTTCAAAATTTGATAAAAAATATTCAATTGAAGTAGCAAATGCTTGAAGATTTAAGTGTTCAATTTTAAATAGGTACAACTTTACAAACCACAACGAACCTCCACATAAGTTGTTCTTGCACCAACCCAAGAAACATAGAAATCTATAAAATCCTACATAATATTATTATGCCCGATTTTGAATACAGACAAATTTCGAATTTCGGTAAATTTGAAAATATTTAAACAAAAATAAATATTTTAGGAATTTGTTGTACCTTTTTAAACAATATTATTCGAAGGGACTTAAAACTTTCACCATTAGATACGCGTTTTATTGTTTATTATACTTAATAACATACTGTTCAAAGAATTAAGATTAATATTATGTTATTTATACCACAGAATAGATTAAATGTATTATGTATTTATGTGTTTATTGTATGAATCTATTCTGAAATACCTACATAGGTGTTAACATATCATTATACCACATAGTACGTTAAAAACAATAATTATGGAATGCACTTAATATTTCAATAAACATTATTTAATATATTTTGTGATTTGGTTTGTAAAATTAGTTCAATCTACTGTGTATTAATAAGGCGTAATGGGAGAAAAAAAATTACATAATAATATGCTACTCCAATACCTATATATTATTATATAATAGGTACAATATTTTAGAAATGCAGGCTGACCGTTCCCATATATATAAAAACATTCGTTTTCGTATGTAATGGACGATGATTTAACATTTAATTCGAATGCAACACACCCGTTGCCATAAGGGTGACCTAATCAATGACTAGGTACATTCGACGGTTAACGGAAGAAAAAAGTCCCAGTAAATAATCCCGGAAAAAAGTAAAGTGAAAAAATTACCAAAATACGTTTATTTGTATAGTTCTAGCTTTTTTTTTTTTTTAAATTAATAATTATTATTGATAATAAGGCTTCAACAACGTCATTAGCTTACGGTATTTTTACATTGTTGATTGTTATATACAATTAAGGAATCGCGGACGTTTCGCCCCCACCCTTTCGTCCCCGTCAAAAAAACCAGTCTCCGGCAATTTTTAAGATAGGACGTTTCGTCCCGGAGAGTTATAAGACATAGGACGTTTGGTCCCCAGCATATTTTGATAAGTACTTTAATTTTAAATGAACAATTTAATTTTTAAATGACAATATTACAAAATTACAAATACATAATCAATATTCACACAATATAATTATAATT